ATCTAGTACGAAGCTTTATTCGCATCACGCGTCTTTTCATTTGGTCAACTATTGCTTATTTGGCAGTAATTGTGTCGGACGGATGTCGGAAATCTAAAAAATCGGAAGATATTGCACCAAAAAAAAAGTAGATTGAGGAAAAAAACAATAGAAGCTGATCTTACCTAGAAACACTTTAAATCGATTTTCTTCAAACACTGATTGGTCATTTTTAACCGACTACAAAAAAGGAGGTGGTTCTCAATTCGACTGTATTTTTTTTTATGTATCTTACACGATAACTCCGGCTTGTGAACCGATATGGATGATTATTTTTTATTGGAAAGAGATTATCCCAGTATTGGTCAGATTACAGTTTGAAGAAAATATTCGACCTCTGAGGGTGGCAAACATTGACTTACGTGGCAAACTACGGTTTCATGCACTTACCGGTAACCGATTTCAATAAAACTTGGCAAATAGATGTATTTCCACGAAATTTTGAGGTCGGTCATTTTGTATAAAAAAGGTTATCATTTTTACATTATTACTCAAAGAAAAAGCGCGTGATGTTTCTTTATTTTTATGTTACGAATTTTAAATCCTAAAAATTGTATTTTTTATTACTTCTCAATGTCGCGTTTGACAGCTGTCATTCCAATACAATCGCTATGAAAAAGAAAGGCGGGAAACTCGAAAGAGAAAGGCGCGTTTTAAAAACATTATTTTTAGAAAATAGAAAACAATACTCTCTTTCTTCTTATCCTTCTTATGGCACGCACTCGAAAAACGGAATTTTCCAACAAAAAGTTCTGATACTATATCCATTTTCCCTGTAGGTATGATAATTCTTCGGAAATTCATTAAGCTATCGGTCGATCGCCGGTAGTATTTCGTCGCTAGTCGCCCTCACGCTACACTGTATTTCGTCGTTAGTAGTCGCTGCGACCGCAGTCGCGAAATATCGCCGGCACGCTGCACGAGCCCTTTGGAGAATCGTTGTGATAGGCACACGACCATTTGTTTGTCGGAAGTATAAATAACAGTAAACGCCGTATCATCTCGCACCACGATAATGCCAGTTCTCATACGGCCAGACAGAAAAATGAATTTTTGAAGGTGAACAACGTCGACCTTATGAGCCATCCCGTGTACAGTCCCGACCTGGCACCTTGTGACATTTAATTTTATTTCTTAAAATTAAGAACCAGTTACGCGGTCAACGATTTTCATCACCTGAAGAGGCTGTCGAAGAATATGTTTCAGAGATTGTCACGGAGGAGTGGCATAAATGTTTTCAAAATTGGTTCATTCGTTTGTAAAAGTGCATTAACGTTAACAGAGAAGATTTTGAGAAACAATAAATTCATATCTTACCATTCATAGCATTTTCTTTTTATTCATTCTGGAAACTTATAGTGCGCCTCACGTATAAAAAAAGTAGTGGAGTTGCCGGTTGACTATACAATTTAGATTTTAAAATTGTTTGATTATTATACTTTTTGTAACAAAACAAGCAGTCAAGCAGGACTCACTCATTGCTAGCTATGGGCAAGTCAAGTTATTTAACTTGATTAACTCGAGTCACTGCCACAACGAGTCAACTCGAGTTACTTATTTATGAACTCGAAATAACTCTGTACCCGCCCCGCCACCGCCGAGCCGACTTCATTCGTTCCGGCGACTTTCGGCGCACGCTCGAGTCGCGAACGATGGGCGAGTCGAGTTATTTAACTCGAGTTACTTCCACAACGAGTCAACTCGAGCTGCCTTTTATGATCTCGAGCTAGCTCGGTGCAGTTCCCGCCGAGTCGAATACTTCATTCATCAGCGCGTCGGCTATTCGTTCTCGGTCGGTTCGGCAACTTTCGGAGCTCGCTCGCGGTCGGCCGGTTGATCGTGCACGACTCGGTGAATCGTCGGTTCGAGTTCTACTTACGACTAGCGGTTGTTCTATCAGACACCGAGTTGAGTTAACTCGAGTTGAAAAAAATACAACTCGTCCATCGCTACTCATTACACAATTTGCGGTTTTTTTTTTGCGGTAGTTTACGGTTTTTGGTCAGTGCGCTGAGCGTAACGGACAGCGTCAAGAATTAGGAACTGTGACACCAATATAAGAAAACGAACGCTAGCTGTCTCTTTTTTACGTTACAGGACTAGTACGTCGTTAAAAAGCGATAGCAAGTATTTGTATCCGGGATAATTATAGCGGCAACTATTTTTAGCCAATCACAGACGACTTTTTCAAATAAATTCCTTGGCGTCGTAACGTCGTTGGCGCTTGGCGTTCGTTGTTGTTGCTTTTAGCGTGTGTGGCGTTTAGAAAACGAGTTGTGAAATCGGCGTCTGTAAACAAAAATATTTCAAATACCGTGATAGTGAATCAATGAATATCCAATCTCCTTAGGAAGTAAGGACCGCGTGTGTGTTGTGCAGTAATAATTTGAGGTCAACCAGAGAAGTTTGCTAACGCGTTGTGTAATTTTATTCCAGCAATGTCCACAAGGAGCGGTCGGATTAGACCAAATGTAGTGGAGGTTAGCCCTCCGAGAACGCGTAAAGGTGTGTCTCCTCCGCGCTCTCCTGGGAGACCTAGGAAAAGTTCACCCGCCACGCGGTCTACGTCGCGTAAGTCGCCTACGAGGAAATCACCGAGCCGCAAGCCAGCATCGAAATTTCCCGCCCGAAAATCTCCTTCAAGAACAACAAAGGAAGCTACAGAGACTGCTGCTCAAAAGTCACCAGGCAAGCGACCTGCAATTAAAGGCGATGTTACTGTAAAGTTACACGATGTCACTAAACTGGATATTTACCGCGGTACGCGCTCTCGACGCTCTGAATACTCGATCAAAGATCTGTCAACAGGGTTGTCACAGAACAACGTTATCGAGGAGCAAGAGATTGTGAATGGAATGGATTCATCAAAATCCAATGACATATATGGCTTACGAAAGAGGAAATCAATCGAGGACGTTGTCCCACGCCGGTCTAGTAGGCTACGGGAATTTGTTGATAACATACCAGATGTAAGACGAAGCCACAGTAAGTCAGGTAGTAAGTCTATCAGTAAATCTATAAGTCAATCTATAACATTTTCTGATGAAGAGCATTCTGAGGATGAGTTACAGAACAAGAAATCTGGGTCGGTGACAAGAAAATTAGCCACTCCATTAAGAGACAGTGTCAGTAAATTGGCACAAATTAGCAGCCGATGGGAGTTTGGAGGTAGACTAGGATCTGCTTTTTTGATGCTGCTGATTCCTGTAGTGGTGTATACTATTCTTCTGTCATGTTCAAAAACATGTACACCAAAGAATCTTTTTGGTTTGAGCATGCTGAAATCTTTCTCAATTTGGTTCAGCTGGCCAGCATTGACAATCATATCTGTCCAATTAGTAATACAGGCTTTATTGACTTTTGTGCCTGTGTTAGGGACAAAGGCGGACCGTTTTGATGAAACAGGAACAAAGCAATACTTCAATGCATTTTTCTGCAGCATTGTTACGATAAATGTGCTTTTCACTTTAAGTTACTTCAATTTTTATGATAGTAACAAAATTTTGTCAGATTATTTGAGATTGGCTACTGTTTCATACATTTTTGCTGTAATTTTGAGCATAATTTTATATGTGAAGAGTAGAAAAATGGATGACATTGAACTGAATCCTTATGGGAATACGGGATATGCACTGTATGACTTTTGTATGGGAAGAGAAATCCATCCATTTTTCAAGAATTTCGATGTCAAAATTTGGATTTCACGGATTGCCAATATTAATACTGTAAGTATGCAATTAATACTAGAATAAAAGCTAAAACAAATTTCACATCTATTCCCTTCTAAAATGCTTGCATCTAGGAACAAGTAAACTGTTTTGGTGTGCAATTTATGTTGCCAGCTCTCATCCTATATATTAATAGCCTCATACATAGTATCTGTATATTAACCTCTACAAGTTACTCTATTTGTACCTTGTACTCTATAAGTTAAAAGACAAATCAAAGGAAGGTAAATTGTTAATATGTATTCAATTATTATGTATATAACAATGCATTTTGCAATGTCCACAATATCCACAAGGTTGCTTGTTGTATACAAAGCGCCATCGAGTATATAACCAGAAATAGAGACGAAATTAGGGCTATATATTCCTGTTAACACATTAGTGATACAGCTCTTATAAATATCAACTCTCGTTTTCACTGAAATATAGACAGGCCAACTACTGACCTGTATTTTTTATTGTTTGTTATTGTAATAAAAATTAATATCTCTAACAATGTTGTGTTGTTCTATTCGGTGGTGTAGGAAAAACAGCAAAACATCTAATTACAAAACAAACTGAATCACATTTCATCAGTACCTAATTAAATATTAAGTATGCAATTTTCGTCCATTATAGCAAAGCTCAAGTTAACTGATTGATTTGAAGTGAAACAGTTGATGACACCCAATGACGACACCCGTCAATTGTTTCGAACTCGGGCTAGCCAATCGGAGCACAGTTGTCACAGTAATGATATGGCAGAATAGTTTTAATAGTTCAAACAAATTAAATGACACTTCATCTCTATTTCTGGTTATATACTCGATGCAAAGAACTAATAGCTTGTAAGCAGATTTGGTAATTTCGAATGCAACTATTTTTATAATAATCATCATGCACATGTTATATTCATTAATAGCATGTCTCCCATGGAGTATTTTTTTAGACTGTTTGACAATTGATGTCCATTGTGTGTTGACAATTGATGTCCATTATTTATTTTTTTAGACTGTAATAATGTTATATTACTATTGTTGTCAGGTTAACGTATTAATTGATATATTGTGATCAGTATTAATTACATCTTGTAGTCAAGGCCAGTACCATCAAAGAACAAAAGGTTTTTCTTAGCTTTCATTGTTATTACATTCTCTGGCTGTTTATCAGCCTAGTAATGAGCTTTTCATGCCTATTTGAAAGAACAGTAGGACAGAATGTACCCTTTGTTCTTTTAAGCTGGTGATTGTGCCACTAGGCCCCTGTGATAGTTCTATCCAACATGTCCTTCCACGGTTGGTATTTTTGACGTTAATTAAAGCTCTCGAATGTTACAGAGCATTGGCTTGTAGTCATGTGTCAGGAGGAATCTAATCCAAAACAAATCCACACACCCCCAGATATCAATGCATTGATATCTGGGGGTGTGTGGATTTGTTTGAAGGGTGTATGAAAACAGGGATGTCGTTAACTGAGCCGTAACTGGTACATGCTAGTCCTAATGTTTGTATAAATACAAGCTAGAAGGCAGACTCAGCAGAGCATTCATGGTCATGGCAGTTTGCAGTAGTGTTCAAATAGGCTTTGAAGGCTACTTGATAAATATATGTCCATCCTATAAACAAAAGCATATATAACTATCCTGCCCTCGTAACGAAAAAAGGCACAACTATGTGTGCTTTACACAGCAGTTGTGCCTTTTTTCATTCTGAGAGCTGTATAGGCCTCAAAATTGGTATATGTAGTTAGACTTTGGATTCTTTGTCTGAGGGCGCCTTAGGCCTTTTTGGTTAATTACTTTATTTGATATACAATATTTCTTACTTAAAGGGATTTAAATTCTTGACATATTTAGCTTCTGTGGAAAACATTATGACTTGGCCTTTTACAATCAGTTCAACTGACTTTAGTTTCCGGTAGCCGGTGATAAAAATGCAAATTAAGTTACAGTTGAGATCGTTGCATTAACTAATTGTTATATTCCTTTTTTCAGCTCATTTTGGCAGTTCTTATCTTCAAACATGGAATCCACCTACCAGCTGATGCAACAAATCTGACTACGGAAAACTACAAGGAATATCTAAGCAAAATCCAATTCAAGCCTACAACCTTACTGTACGCTATGATGCAAATTGTTTACATTCTGAACTTTATTATGAAGGAGTACAAGATAACTAGCACTTTCTTTTGGCAATCTGAAGGACTAGGGTACTTTCAATTAGTATCAAGCGCCTTTTATCCATTCTATTTTACGACTATTTCGAAATTTGTTGCGGATACCAACCTGGCTCTATCAACTAATGCTTTAATCGCCGCTTCAGTGCTGTACTCTCTGGGATTTTTATTTATGCTTATCAGTAACAACATTAAATATGAATTCAGGAAAAATCCCCTACAACCACGTTTGGCACGTAAGTAACATTAATAACTGCCTAAGGGTTCATTTTAGTGGTAACATTCTATTGGTAACCATCATAATACAACTAATATAGCAGTTGCTAGTTGTAGTCCTAGTTGGGCCAAAGCCCAGGTGCAGTAATCAGCCACGCCATTTGTTATAATCCAAAATAAGAAGCTTACATTGAAGTTCACACAACAAACAAGGAATGAAATTTCTTTTTATAATATTTGACGTGGCTGAAGTACTCTTCTACTAATGTACAATAACTTTTTTAAATAATATTATTTATTTTATTATTACTAAATCCATTTATGTTCATATGGGGCCAATCTAAAATCTCTGACTGAACTTCATTAAAGTTAAAAATAACTAAGTTTCTTTTTCTGTCTACTTAAAATCAATAACTATCAGTATTAGTAATATATCTCACTAATCAACTTACAATGTAATGTAACTTAGTAATTAATTAAAAAGCGAATGAATTCTGTAACGAGGTATCATATTTCAGATTTAGACTCCATGCCAACATTCCATGGAAAGAAATTGCTTGTCTCAGGCCTCTGGGGTGTATTACGCCATCCAAACTACACTGGTGACATCCTGATACACATTGCACTGGCATTACCTGGAATATTATCGAAGCAATACATGGCTGCTGCCCCGGCTCTGCTCACAATTGTACTCCTTCTGCATCGTGCTTGGCGGGACTATGCTCGGTGCAGACGTCGTTACGGAGCCGCATGGGAAAGGTATTGCAAAAGAGTACCCTCTGTTATCATACCTAAGGTACTATAACTATTTACACATTTTTAAACTTGACTAAGTAAGTTTTTAATTTCATTGTGCTTCTGATTTGGACTCGACATAGAAGAGCATGTTTTTAAATGGTATATTGTCTAAAATTGGTATAGCACAGGGTCATGTATTGTTAAATTTTGGGCATGATCCAGCCGGCTAAATGCGTGAAGCAAAACAACCCAGTGGCATTGATAGTGAGTGTCCTTCAGGACCAGTGTTGCTGTTTGAATCAGTAGTTAGTGATTTTAGCTGGCAAAAGTTTAATAGATAACAAAATATTCGCACTCGCACTTAGCCGACAGAGTGCAGCCTTGTATTAAAATAACATAATTATATAAATCGATGTCAAGCTAGGACACTGGGAGTAACCACACTTATTAACACGGAATCGGCTTGAGCAGATCAGAAAAAGCTTTACGTCCATGCAACAAGCGCCCTTATTAAAAAGCCGTTACATATTTCGCTTCCGCTTGTATCGCCGACGCGAAACGCACCGCCTTTTTCGCTTTTCATGGACATAACGTTTTTTCTGACCTGCTTAAAATGCGATTTTGTGTGGAAATGTCGTCGGTGTTTTGTAGAAAGGGCGAAAGTGCCATTTCGAAAAATTTTTCAGGAGCATATTGTTTTAATTTTTCACGATTGTTTTTAAATATTTATGTCAGTTTTAAATTCAATTTTAAAACTTAAAATACCAAAATTGGATTTTAAAACAGGACGTAAATATTTTAAAACAGTAATTAAAGCTTAAAACATGGTCCCCTGTTTATATATGCCAATACATCGACGATATGTGGTGACTCTTACTGAACATGATTTTCAAATATTCTATTGTTACGTAGTCAAGTTTTGAGAAAGATTTTTAAGTTAAGGACACCATTACTTACGTAATGTGTATTTTATTCTAACAATAAATTTATTTTATGGTATGGATGGATATAATATTTTGTACATATTGATTATGTAATGTGAATAGTTCTTACTAACATCACTGTATTTTGAAATTAATTTTAGTGAACAAGATCTCAAGTTCTGTAACAACTTTACATAAGTTTATGTAACACATAATATACTTGAGATTATTGACCTGCCATAAAAGACCACCGGACAAATTTTAACACTAAATTAGCTGAGATGGTTTTATTTCAATTTAATTTATTTTAATCTTTTATTTTTCGATTATTCTTGAATGTAATCTAAGGTATCTAAATCCTCCTCAATTTTTTTTAAATTACGGCTCTTGGTACTTTAGTACGTGGTTTACACTTTCTAAATTATGGTTTTGTTTTTTATTGATAATTTTTTTTCTTCTATACAGTAAGAACATTTCAAATTGTGTCAGTGTAATGAAAAAGTACAAAAATCGACTTCTTAACATACTAGGTAATATTATTTTTTAGTTATTTTTAACCCTAAGATCGACTTTTACTCTACGACATAAATAATAATTATTACAATTTACGATGATATTAATTTCAAATTTGAATCTTGGTTGTACAATCTCTCTAGTTATATGCTCTATATTTAATTGTAATTTACTTCCATAATTGTTTGTAATTTATAAAATTTCTCTATGATATGTGTGATTTAAAAGAAAGTGTGCCTCAAACTATAACAATAATATAGAATATTGCTTCAAAAGCATTTAATAACTAACATGTCTTGGACAGGTTGCTTTTTCCTTATAGAGACACTTAATGCAAGTGTTGCTCAAGTTTGCGCAAATAAATTCTCATCTAGAGTGTTAGAGTTTATTTTTCGGTTGTGTTGCACGATTTATACGTCTCAATAGTGAGACTATGGATACTGTCGTAGCTTTGAATATTAGTGACAATGTCTATATTGCTATCGATAGTATGAAATACTATCATAAGTGCAACACTATTTGTCGATAATGACAACAGGTTCCGCCTAGAACGAAAGAAAATACTTGCCATTTACACCATATCATTTGGAAATTTTTGCTCAATTTGAGTCAAGTTAATTTTAAATATATTTTAAAAGGCGCAATTATGTTATCCATTACATTACTAATAAATATCACATACATGAATAATTAAGTGAAATTATTAGTAATAATGAATGTAATAAGTATTTAATATGTGTTCTTAATAAGTGAGTGTGGTATACATAACGTGATCATTATTTTTTCTCTCAGAGATCTCCGCCTGTAAATTGATTAGAGTCTATGCACACGGCGTATTTTATACGCGCGTCATCTGCGCGTATACGCGTTGTACTGAATCGATTCAAACGCGCGCAAACATCGCGTTGCAAGCAAGCTTATATACTCCACTGGAGTTTACACTTGGAATTTCATGTATTTGCCTCATTAAAAAAAACTAACTGAAATTAACAAACAAAACTAAAATTCAATCAATCAACATATTTATTCGTATTACATAAAACTATTTTTTGTCAAAATGCGCAATACATACGCCCGACTACAGCGCGTCTGCGTCGCGTATACGTGCGTCGTCGGCGCGTATAAAATACGCCGTGTTAAAATAAAACACATATTTATAATAGTTACGATATGTTTAATGAGTAAAAAAAGACCCAAAAAAGTTCAATGATAAAAAATTTAAAAAAGCAGCCCAGCACATCACGCCACCGATTCATTCCTGCCAATGCACATGGACTACGGATGACATACAACTGGATAAAAAGCGCGGGCGACAAGACTCGATTTTATTTCAAAACTTGCTGCTACGCTTTCGCGCCATTTTTTAAGTATATTATCACGTGTCCTGTTTTGTCAAGCGGGATGGTCACGTTAGGTATACACTAACACAACTTGTAAAAAAATTGGATTTGTATTTGTAAATGTAGTTGACTTAGAAAATTACCAGTTGTAAAGCATTTCTTAAACTGTCTGAAAGGGACAGTTATTAGCAAAGTTTCAGTAAAATACGTCAATGTATTATTATGTTTATGATCTTTAAATAGAATCGTATTTTTATTGGTGTGTCACAAACCTTTTTTGTGTTTAATACATTATTTTGTACAAAGGTAAACTTCGTGTTTTGTTGTAGTGTAACCTTCCTGAATTCCCGTATACTATTGTTTCCTCTATTAAGCTGTGCTGAGGATACGGACGTTAACTATACTACTACAACTATAATAAAACTTAATTGAATTCCATTTATTTATTTTTCTATAAAATACACATACAATTTGTAAATAATTCAATATTCAAATATCTAATTACAGATTTCGTTTCTAACAATACGTTATGCTCTTTTCGACCACGCTAAGGTACTTCGAGTCGGGTACCAATGAAAATCAGTATACATACTTTTATAAATACATAGGTACTTTACCTTTCGTTATATAATTATACTTTCGAGGAATCACTAGAGAAAATAAGATGCAAAATGGAACAATTTACTTTAAAATGACACGATGACTTGATATGTAGTTCCATTCCTAAAAGAAAAGCGGAATATATCTAAAAATTATTTCAAAACTCAATATAGAAAAACAGATTTACTTTTATAGGTAGGTATTTAGAGATATGACATCGCATGCAACAGCAATCTAGGTACACTAAAATAACTAACACCGAGTACCTGTGAACTTTAAACTAGTACATGGAACTTATAGTAAAGTCGATATTTTAACATTTTTCTCTTAAATAGGCCTAAGTAACGCTCTGGATAAACAATTTATACAGCGAATATAATGATAGCAATCAGTTTTTAGGGTATATAGAAAAAGGAGACTGCTTTTGTTTACATAAACGACGTTAAAGGTTAAACCTTACTGAACTGCTTAGCATCAAGCGTACTGTAGTCGTAAAGTAATAATCTTTTCTAATGTCGATTGGTGCAGTTCTTCCAGCATTTGAATAGCAGATTTGAGCCATCTTCATAAATAATCTTTTTGTTTTTAAATTTTTCCTGGTTTTCTTAACTCGTGTCTACAACGCTCCAATATAAGTATTCAAAAGATCTTTCTAAAACATTTGGAATGGAATCGCGAAGTTAGTTATTTGTTTCAAATTTAGTTGTTATTAACAATGATTATAAAGTACAGCCGCATTTACACACTGATGGCTTACACATGTCAGTTTGGCACAAATAAATATTTACACAAATATTTTTAGACATTGATAAAAAATTGTCGAAGAAATGCATTTTTTAACACTACGAACATTTGTTTAAAACGAGGATGTGTATCGTTAAATAATACATTTACAAACTCATAGTATTTATAGGTAATTAGATATTTTTTCATTATAATGTAGTAATATAATTATCTAATATTTTTTTCAATTCATAAGACTTTGAATTTTAACACTTATCCTACATTCTATTTGAAAACAATTTTTTCTGTGTAGTAAATAAATATCTCGTAATAACCAAAAGGGATGGCTTTAAAATAACATATTTTACGTTTTATAGGAAGACACACAATAAATCTTAACTATTTAAGCTCGACCAATAAGTTTAATAATTTCACGTAAATAAAGAAAATATTACCGACTCGAATATAATTTGTTACACTCATGAAAACAAATATTGTAGGCAAATATATGCTTATTTTGATCTCGTTTTAATCAACATATTATATTCATCTCTATTGTTTATTTATAAGCATGTCGAGACCTACAATTATGACCTTTATTGTGATATTGAACAATTTTAAACTCCATCTATTTATTTGGTTCCATTTAACATTTACTATGAAAATATACACACGTAAATCTAAGTTTCAATCTATGTATGTACAATATTATTTACAATCGTGATAGGTAGGTAGGTAATTTCTTAAAATATTTTATTCTTAAATTTGATCTGTTAAAGATAACAAGGATAGAATTCGATTAACAAAATTAGATCGGTACCTAAATATTTCATTTAATTATCACTTAAACATTGTCTCTTTTATAGTTTACTAAAATTGGTTTTCAAAAAATATTGTGATATTTCTGTTTTAGGAAAACTTAAACTTTTTGAATAGAGAACCAAGTGAAATTGGCGTGATTAATTTAGAATAGAGCGGTGCTTCAATTCATACAAATTATTGTCGACACAATTTGTGAAACTAAGTTTTAGAAATGACCGGGAAATATTTTGACTGTATGGCAGTGTTTATGACCTGTTTATTGTTGAATACGTGTAATTTAGTATATACCTACAAGTGAAGAAGTTACTTTTATATCGTAACGTAGGCCTAAAATTGTATAGGTACTTGAAATTTATGGACATGAAATAATTTGAATATTAAGATGAAAGCAATCACTGGTATCTACTTTTACTCGCCTAAATAAGGCCATATACACACATACATATACTTTCAATAAAATTATCTAAGTAATATCGTATCTTGAACAAACATTAAATCTAAGCGTTCTAATAAAAATGGCCGGAATTTAAATAAGAAGTGAAAGGGGAAAATGTTGAAAGGCTCACATAGCATTTTAGGTAGTATTATATTTAGAATTATATATTGACATGTTAGTTATTGTGATGTGACTTGCCTAAAATCGAGAACATAACGAGTACAATTTGTTCCTCCAATAGATATTACTTGCTCCTTTTGTATTACCTCTCCTAAATAGAAGTTACATCTAGAAGAATAGCTAATAGTAAGAGTTTTAGAATTTTAATTATTATCGATGATATTATTCAGTTCAAAACTACTTTTTTGGTAATTCAGGGAAAATAGCTTTTATAGATATTTCTAACTCTGCGCTTTCGAATCTACAAACTAATGCTTATTTTAAGATTGTTTTCATACCATGTTTGCTTTATCTACAAAGAGACTATCGGCGTTTGTAAAAGGTATCTTCGACATGATTTTTTTATTTGCGTTACCTACCTATAATAAATGATCATTTATCATCATAAATAATGTTGTCGCTCCTTCCTTATAGGACAAGGGTATAAGAAGTATATTGATAAGTAGTAGTAACACTTATAGAAAATATGATAAACTTAAGCATTTTCTATTCACGTTTGACGATGTATTCCATGGTTTCTGTAGAACAGATAGTTCTCACAAAATACATAAAACAATTCCATTTGCTTAAGTGATAAATTGATAAACATACAAGATATTATCTGCACAACTACACGTACTTACACAATACAAGTAACATGGAAAAATTCTACTGAATCATACGGATGTATAATAATATTGAGAATTTGAAAAATAGACTAAACTGTATATTATATCAGTATTACCATTATTATTTCTGTGGATGTGATGGCTATGTTGCCCATTTTCCGACTAGATAAACATGCATTCATAGAGACCTATTTACTTCGTTAACTACCGTACACGCAACTGAAGAATAGGCTTATCGATTCTGAAACTAAATGTCATAAACCTATCGATATTTTTTATCAATAAAACACCACTAAGATAAGCTACACCTCTAAGTAATTGTCGGCAATATCGCGCCCATATAAAATTGAGTCTTCATCATACGAAAATCATTTCATACATAAACGTCGATTATTATGAGTGCGATGTTGTAGCGTGCTGTAGCTTATCCTGTAGTTATTACGGTGCACGAGAATTGTTGCCCGTGCCTACCGCAGGCCGTCAGAAGTTGCTGTCGAACACCGCCATGGACCGCGTGATTGCTTCGTCATGGACGCAGCACTGGAGGAATTCGTCCAGTGTCAATACGCCATCTCGGTTTAGATCCATTTTCTGTAGATGAAAATAATGAGTTGTAAATTATGTCAGTGACTTTCAGATAAGTTTTTTGTACTCAATTTTGATGACATTTTTTATTGAATTAGTCGAATATATCATCGTGATTATTGAAGCACTGGAATATTAAATAATGCTTCATGATGATATTCTACAAATATTTAAATAAAAAGAAATTGTCACCAAAATTGAGTACAAAAAAACTAACCTGAAAATCACTGATGTATCAGTACCTCTGCCATGAGGTTACAGTATAGTTAATATTTGTATAATATAAATTGTACAGCGCCTCTAGCGTTCATAAGAATTACTAAAACTGCACATACAAATAGTTACACAGTCATTAACGACTGCAACCTTGTAAACTCGTAGAGGTATAGACTGCATTTACCAAGTACCTACATGATATGGTAAAAGATATTATTTACAAAACAATTCAATGAAACGACTTTATATTAAACGAAAGAAGATATCAATAATCTCAGTACAGAGTACCAAAAAAACTGACCTCAAAAGATTGTGGAATTACATTTATTTGCCAAGTTTTATTGAAATCCCTTACCGGAAAGTGCGCGAATCTGGATTTATCTCCTAGTTTGCCACCCTTAGAGGTGGAATATTTTTAAATACATGGGACCACTACTAAGGCGTGTACCCTCTTACGAACAAAAAAGGAATCATCAAAATCGGTGTAACATAAAAAAATATAGTCGAATTGAGAACCTTCTTTTCTTTTTTTGAAGTCGGTTAAAAAGAGTAATTATTCGTAGAGGTGGACGAAAATTCTTAATTTACCCACGACGCTGAAAACAGGCCTGGGTAATTTTGTAGGTAACCAAAAAGTCCAAATCGTTTACCTGAAACAGTCTTTCCACTTTATCCCTAACAATTTCTTCATCAGCAGCGGGGTCCACTATTCTTCCCATAAGGTCGTATATTGCAGAAACGATTTCCGTCATCTCCTCCTTAGTAATACACCCGTCCCCATTGATGTCGTATAAAGAAAATGTCCACCGCAACTTTTCTTCTAGCGTCCCCCGTGATAATACTGATAAACCCGTAACAAATTCCTGTAATGCATAGAAAAGTTACTATAGTAGAAAATCAGCTAAGAAGTACGAGTATTAGGTATGTGCGAAAGATATGCAACTTCAGTAAGTAAGGTAACCTAACACAAATAAACCTCAATAGGGTTCAACACTGCGCCTACAATTCCTCCTAAGTAATGAGGCGTGAGCAATGAGGTTCAATCTTATTTGAGATTATTTAGAGGATTTCACTTTTCCAACGTGATATTTTGTATAGGTACAAAGTAAGTAGGTATATTATTAGGTACTCGAATGGTAAAATCATATCTCACCTCAAAACTTAACAAGCCACTTCTATCTTGGTCCAATGTGTTGAATACGTAGTGTGCGTACTGGGCGGTATTCGCTGTAAACAAGAATAAGTTACAATTAATTGTTATTAACTTACTTTTTTGTTTTTACGTTTTGGAGTTACTGGATCACAATGTTGTGTAATATGTGTACCTGTACAATATATGTAGGAACGATTTTTGGATATTTAATATGCATCTTGACGTCGGTTTAATTTTTTTTAAGCTGAATGCACCTCCTTAGGTAATATTGTTGGCAACTGTAATGATTTGTATAATTACCCCACTAAAATTTGAAAGTAATTTTAAACCCTTAGTTTGTGCAGTTGATGTTAGTTATGAAGAGTCGAAGTTCCGGAGTAATCGCGTAGCATACATACAAAAAATACAGACGAATTGAGAACCTCCTCCTTCTTTGGAATCGGTTAACACATACAAGAGTGTGTGTAAAGAGCGAGACGTCCTTGAGGCAGACCACCGCTTTTATTTATATTTATCACCGGTAGATGGTCGGAAGACTGGGGATGAGACTCGCACAGGACCGATTGAGCTGTCGTGCAAGAGGTCTATACCCAGCAATGAGTGCTAACAGGCTGAGATGATGATAAATATAAAAGTTGCGTTTGGTACATATGGACGCGATTTTGATTTGTGCTGTCAAGTTTTTTTTTATGATATATCAGGTGACGGGATGAACAAGTCGCGTGCCGGATGTAAGCTACACGCCTGTCCATAACAGTTGCAGTGTCACTCAGACCTCTAAATCGTAAAGATCTAAGGGGCAGCTACTGCGCCCGTCACCCTGAGATATATTGGCAAATCCCAAGTGCTTGTATGTTCACCAAGCAGGGTTCCAATGCTGAAGAAATAATAATAATAATAATAATAATTTTTTTTTTATTTCTCACCACAATACAACAAAAATACAAGTGCTATTT